AACTCTCAAACCACACTAACCATTTGCATGTTTCGTGAACTCTAACCTCTCCTTCCAGTCTATACCGAAAAAAGTGTATTTTTTTTTAGCCATTATTTATTGTTATGAATGTTTTTTCTGGTGGACGAAATAAAATCTCTCTCTCTCTCTCTGTTGGCCTTCACGTTCATTTCACAGCAGAACCTTAACCTAGAATAAAATTTTGTATACACACAAGACAAATCATAGAATACCACAGCAAAGTAAAACCAAGGGGATAATCCAATATATCTCTACTGGTCGCCTAATTACAATAAGAGGTACAGAAGCTAAACTATACCGTCTACAACCCTCATAAAGTATTACACCGCCCAAAAAGAAACAAAGACCATGCATGTGTGATGTTAAAAGTTGGTTCATCGGTTGATTCGTTTGAAAAAGGGATTATTGATAGCAAGCCGGGAAACGTCCGGTTTTCAGTAAATCGTTCAAGAATATAGCACATTGACGTTGAAAATGTCGTAAGAATTTATGTCTCACTGCAAATGTCGCCAAATTGCATTTCAAAAAATTTTGAAAGTTTTGGGAAGGGCCCATGGAATTTGATTTCATCACATATAGTTGCATCATTGATTTAAGTGTATTTCACTATCTGTTGTTCGGAACAATTCTATTCGATCGTACAACTTTACAATATATGAAACTTTGGCATTACAATCCATTGCGTTCCTATTTGATCTCTGAGGGTATTCGGTTAATTCCACTAAAGTACCTTTAAAGAGAATCAGAAGGAGGATTCAGATTATAGGGAGCATTAAACCTATACTTGCATAAGACAATATTGGGCAACACCCTTCACACAAATAAAACAGCACTGTAATGATGCTAAGTTAACAGGAAATATAAATTTACTGAATAACAAAAATATACAAGTAACACTCGTAATAAATTACGTAAAACAATGGAAGACGGTTTAGATCGCCAGCTAAAAAACAGCTAAATACATATTATTTATTTTTTACGCGATGCTCTTACTCTTCCGACTCACCCCGTCATTTGTCAATACGTTCGCTTTTCATTGCCGTCATCGCCATCAATTACCGTTGTTCCCGTCATCGCCGCTTATTTAGAGAATTTCCCTTATACCCACTTGATTTTCAGTAAAATTTCCCAAAATATCACATAGTTCCTACTCATGAGTAATATTTTCAGTAATTTCCGCTTTTTTAATACAATTTCTTGTACCTACACAATAAAATGCCAATTTCCCCCATCTTAGAGCAATTTGCCGTCATTCCCACTTTGTGTGAAATTCCCCGCTATTTAGTGAAATTTCCCCTACATACACTCTAAAATGCATATTTTCCCTATCTTGGAGCAATTTCCCCTCTTTCCCGCATTTCGTAACATTCTCCCGCTTATTAGTAAATTTTCCCGTCATTCCCGTTTCCCGCATTTTAGGGCGCTAAATGTATAGGCCCTAATATGTATTTTAGAGTATGTGTGGGCTAAATTTTCACTGAAGGGCGAAAGCAACGGCAAGTTTATACAGTGCTCCCCAAGTATGTTCATCAAGATGGCGCACATCCTGAACCAAGTATGTGTACCAGGTTAAATCTCAGGTTGTGCGCCATTTTGTTGCAAATACTTCCGAAGTGCCGTTTATTCTTAAGTGTGCATGTACGTAGTAATCGTACTATAACACATATTTCCTTTATCTTCGAGCGATTTTCCGTCATTCCCGCTTTTTGTAACATTTTTCCGCTTGTTAGTAACTTTACCCGTCATTCCCGTTTCCCGCATTTTAGGGCCCTAAAACTGCGGGAGCGACGGGAAATGCACTAAAAAGCGGGAACGACGGGAATTTGTCAATTTAAAATTGCGGGAACTACGGGAAATTTCACAAAAGACGAGAATGACGGGAATTTGCTTTAGGGTATGGGAAATATGTATTTTAGAGTATGTGAGGGGTAAATATGCATTGAATAGCAAAAGCAACGGCAAGTTTATACGGCGCTCCCGAAGTATTGCAACAAGATGACGCACAACCTGAACATAGTATGTATACCAGGTTAGAGTTCAGGTTGTGCGTCATCTTGTTGCACATACTTCCGGAGTGCCGTTTATACTTGAGTGTGCATGTACGGGGTAATTGTACTAACATACATATTATCCGAATCTTAGAGCGATTTCCCGTCACTCCCACTCTTTGTGAAATTTTTCGCTTTTTAGTGAAATTTCCGTATCCACACAACCCAAGCGTATATTTCCCGTTGCTTCCATTTTCTAGTGCAATTTCTTCTAAACATACTCTGAAATTAGTATTTCCCGTACTTTAACGCGATTTGCCGTCGTTCCCGCATTTTAGATAAATTTTCACGTACATACACCTCCAAGCGTATATTAACCATTGCTTTCGCTTTCTAAAACAATTTCCTCTAAACATACCCCAAAATGAATATTTCCCGTAGCTTAAAGCGATTTCCCGTCATTCCCATTTTTATTTTGTGGAATTTCCCGCTTTTTTGTGAAATTTCCCGTTGTTCCCGTCATTCCCGCATTTTAGTTTTTGCAATTTCCCGTCGTTCCCGCAGTTCCCGCATTTTAGTGCAGTTCCCGTCGTTCTCTTTTCCCGCATTTTAGGGTTGCCCTTGAATTTCTGATAAATACAAGGTGGGACTCCAACTGTGGGAGTTGTTACTGGTATCATATTGAAAACGACAAGAGCAATTTCGCTGTAGCGAAAAATTGTGCATTGAAGGAAAAATTTTAACATCATTTCTGAACGTAAAATCTAGTGCAGTAACACCTTTGAATCTTTCCCCGAGCATCGGCTTCCTTGTTTACTTCATGACATTGGCCAATGATGCAAAAAGTGACGCAACAATGCACCCTTTTCGCATCCGCTCGAATACTTTCTCATTGAGACAGATTTTCAAGCGTGGTCGTAAACATTACCTCGTTTCCGCGTTTTTGAACTCTATTCGTTAGTTTTTAGTTGTGTTTCGGAAATTTAAATATAAAGTTTCAATTTAATTGCAGTAATAAAAAATTTGTGTATAAATGGCTGGCTCAGCGGTGTGGCGCATCGTGCTAAGCGTTAGGAATACGCTCGCCACCGCATCTCTGATTACCCTTCGTAGGATCGCAGGTTCGAATCCCATACGAGGATGATCATGTGCGAGAGGATTGCTGGACTTCTCGCCGCCGTAGGGTGGTTCACGTAACCGCTGGTCGGTTACGGCTTCCTCCGCCAAGTCCATGCTTCCGAAAACAAATAACTGGCTAACTAATCCCATACCCGACCTGGACTGTTAACCGGACGAGAGGCCGTGGTTCGCCATATGATTAAGCCGTCTTATCGGCTTTCCTCTCCCCCGGGATAAATATTTAAATCCTATCCTATCCTAAATAGCTTTGATAGACTGGGCTAAAATTTTTCACCGGTACTTTTAAAAAACAGATTGTGGTATGCGATGAATCACAATGATGGTTTGAAACACATACCCCATTTTACAGGCGTCAACTCGCGAAAGCACTCTTAAAATAACCCCGAAAATTTTGCAATGTTAAAGTATAGGAAGAATTTTTCGGGGTTTCAAAGGTCGGGGAAAGACTCTACTCTATAATAAGTTAAATGTCCAAAAAAATATCTCAGATAAATACTGATCAGAAATGATGTTGGAACACTTTCAAAACTTTTTTGCCTTCTTTAATGTTATTCCTGATATATACTTATTTTATTCGTTCCCGCTTGATATTCCATGTTTGAAAAACTTTTTTTTATTCGTTACTGCTTCATATTCCATGTTCAAAAGGACATTGAAACTTTCTTTTTCATGGAAATATTTTCTAAAATGAAACTTCACTTTTTGCATCCCGCTAATTAGCCTATGTTACGAAAGTAAACAAGCAATTCGATGCTTGGAAAACATTTATAGCAAGAGGAACACATTAATATTTTTTTCATTTTGACATAGTTGCATGTTAAAAATCTGTGTCGATTTTTTGGAAACGAAATAGACCTATGAATCATTTTGTTATTATGTTTTTGTTGTAAGAATATGGTTTCTCATTTTTGTTGTTATGAGAAAATAGCTTTTAGCATTAGCTATTGGACCAACTGTTTCTTCCAAAGGGTTGTATCGTTGTCACCTAGTGATATACCGAAAACATTTTTTATTTAATATAAATTTATGTATAGATTGCTTAAATTGTGTTTTCTCGGTTTGACAAATGAAATCATTTCTCTCTCTCTCTCCAAATGAATTCGCTCTCGCCAACCCATCAATCGCTCTGTGAAGATAAGATGTCGATGCTCGAAAGGTCGATGCGAACGCACGACACCCGTGCTCGATAACTCCTCTACTTGTTTAGCGTTTACTCCATGATTACGCCGACTAATATCACTTGTAAGCCAATTCACCGCGACAAGTTTTTAGGAATTTATTCCAAGATACATCAATAAGGATACGAAATCTGCACTAAGAATGGTCATCAAAGGTATTGGACACGTAGTGAACCTATGGGTCGTTCTGCTTTTATGTTCTTGTTCTTTTGGTGACTTCCTATCGTTATGAAAAAATTGCTTTTCTCTTCAAGTACTGGACCAATTGCTATGAATTTTCAATGGTTAGATATTGATTTTTTCGTTAGAAGGCTATTACTTTTATTTATTACTAATTTGTGATATCTTATATTTCATCCAAAATTTCGCTGTATTATTTTTTACTCACGGGAACACTGTTTTTAACTTATTTCATCAAGCGATTCCGCGATCGAATATCAGGCCTATACATGTCGGTACTGGTAAGTTGCAGTATCGCATATGAATTTGTGAGTAAAATATTTCGTTCTGGCTTTCGTGTCCATATATTTGAAAATCTCTCTCTTGTTATTAAATAAACTTTACGGCATATTGAAGCGAAATCGAGCAGCTTGAACTTCAATATGGATTGTTTCACAAATATAAATGATGTTAGTATTCAGATTCAGATATTTATTTTCACCACACAGGAATCAATATATTGGCTTAGTATTACTAGCTAATCTTCTTCCAGATCAGTACATGCATGCACCACCTCCAGGGGTACATTTTGCCAATCTTCTCCCAGTTCGACGAGTCTGTTCCGAACTCCCAGAACGGTTTTGCAATTCAGTTTTAAGGATGGCGTCCGTATAATAATGTCACGCTTGGCCCCTGAAAATCGTATCACATCACCATGGAGTTATATGTCGAATTTATATACACACTGTGTGTCAATATATACTTGCCATATCAAAAAAGCTCAATAATTGCTCGCAGTTGATGAAACACAAAATGAATAGGTAGATAATTTCGGCTATGTTCATGCACGGGTCGTAGGCATAAAACTCCCAGTAAACTTATAAGCTACCACTAAATTAGATCAAGTAATTGGTTTCCCGGTCCGCATTAAAGTACAAAAGAATTATTTGCTTTTGTGAATATATATTCGACATGCATTCCATAACTGTAAATATGTGAGAATGAAATTCTGGTTCTAACTTCTTTAATATTTACATTATAGTGAGTGCATGGTGTGCTCTAATAAAGTCATCAAACTGAAATATACTGCTGGTATAAAAGATGAAGATAATTCACTGGGGAAATTTGTGGGGTTGATGGATTGGTTGATTGACACCTTAATTAAATGGAAATCTATGTATCACATACGAATGATCAAGTTATGAACTATTAGATAGGTTACAGTTATTCTGCATATTAATCATTCAAAAAAAAACGCTCATAATTGGGTGAATGAGCCGATATATTATATATATCTCCACATGAGTACGCTAGCTCAAAAAATTTTGCGGCGCTGTCAGTATCAGCGATCGGTTTTATGTTAGCCGTATATCATTATTACCTTTTTACAGACTTGCATTGAAAAAGTAAAACTTAACTTGTTTGTTTTTGTCTCTTACCCGTCGGAGTATAAACGCACAACATCTGTAATATGTATGTCTCATAGTCAGTGAAGAACTTACTTTCAATTCGCACCGCAGCTAATTCTGAACATTTCAAAGCATTTGTAAGGATATATATATGCATATGTGTCATCATATGGAATTCATCACGCTCGTAATCAAAGCACTCTCTTTTGCGTGATTGGCTGTGATCAAATCAATACTTCAAACACCAGGTAATTTCAATTATATTTTAAAAATTTCATCGGACGATCTTGGACCAAGTCTTCGACATTACTTTTAATACTTCAGTGTATAAGATACCGTTTCCTGGTGGGTTTTCATTTGTTCTTGTCACTTTTCCAAAACACGAATTCAATGAAAGTTCTGCATTCTGAGTTTGTGCTATAGAACTCACGATAATGCAGTTAGGTTTCTTAACCTATCATGAGGCTATCAAGGACGTGCAACAATTTATATGTATAATCTACTATTCATACCCGAGATCCATAATACGTCTTTGTCATGTTTGTGCTTTTTCGCACCCAGACTGTCAAGCGTTGATACGACCTTATTCGCTGCAAAAGTACCAAACGTGGTTAATAAAGTTCTGCATATAAAAATGCGCAGTTGATGAAACACAAAATGAATAGGTAGATAATTTCGGCTATGTTAATCACGGGTCGTAGGCATAAAATTCCCAGTAAACTTATAAGCTACCACTAAATTAGATCAAGTAATTGGTTTCCCGGTCCGCATTAAAATACAAAAGAATTATTTGCTTTTGTGAATATATGTTGTCATGTTTGTGTTTTTTCGCACCCAGACTGTCAAGCGTTGATACGGCCTTATTCGCTGCAAAAGTACCAAACGTGGTTAATAAAGTTCTGCATATAAAAATGCATTGTAATGTTTTATATGATTTTTATAATTACATATGGTTAATTAACGCTGGTTGTTATGCAACCAGATCAAAATAAAGTGTATCGTTCAAATTTCTTATTTTTTTTTGCGTCCATGCAATCTGTATTAAAAATTGCTAATCGGATGTCAAAACGTTCGATGCATATGCATCCAAATATATCAAACATATCTCCAAACTATGAAATAATTGAACAAAAAATAAAAAACACTACATACCACTTCCTGTTTGCAAAACGTATGCATTCCCTGATTTTAGTACCAGTAATAGCTCAGATTGATTCCAAGAATAAGCACTATGCGTACACACATAAAAATATAAGATAGGGACATTGGAAGATGGTCAGTATTTGAAATTATCGCACACATCCCGTACTGGATTTAAATAGCTAGATTGGTCAGGTTAGGGCTAAAAATCACCGAGACCGTCTTTAATATTCGATAATATTGCGAGGGTTTTAGTTACATTTTGTACCAATGACAACAATGAGATGCATTCTAGCCCTAATGGCACTCATCGAAACCAATATTCTGTCGACATCAAACAATTACGCATGAATAAATGTTGAAACCATATAGAAGCATTAATTCTGAGTAATTCGAATGACAATATTAAAGCCGCTTAAGCTCGGTCGATAAATAATACCAATACGTTATTATGAGAAACGATTTCAGTTGACGCATAATTTATATGAAAGTTTGAGGTAGAAATATCTGTTTAATATAGCCAATATAATGTAATAATATTGTTCATTGTCAACACTATGATATACTGGCTACTTACCCGGTATCAAATATACTGTGCTCGAACGTGAAGCCATCAGTGGTTCCTGATATATTTTTCCAACTCCTGCAAGGCAATTCTCTCAATGGATCTGGTGCCGAAAGGACTGTGAACCATCGTCCACGTAACTGTAATGGAGAATTACAATCTTGAAACGCGATTTTTATCTGCATATGATTAATTCATCAAAAAATAAATAAGAACTGAATAAGCAAATCATTATTGTGATTTATAAACTGGTATAAAATACCAATGAAGGGTGATCAGTGACTGATGAATTCAACATTCTTTCAGATAAATGAAATCCTATGATTAACAAGAGAGAGAGCCCAAATATATTGACACGTAACAGGTGCCGCTATTTTTTTATTCTGACACATGAAAAACGAATCTCTTGAAGACCACAGAAATTTTTGAACTAAGTAAAAGTAATAACCTTCTGGCGAAAAATCAATCTTTAACCATTGAAAATTTCAAAGCAATTGGTCCAGTATTCGAAGAGAAAAGCAATTTTATAAGATAATGAACATGAACAACAACATAATATTGAAAAGATCGTTATGTACACTGATGTGTCCAAAGAGTGGCATCTGACAGACAAAGTCAGATGGAGCAACATTAACAATCCACAAACCAGATATCGGATAAGCATAAATTCTATGTGGGCTATTATTAACTACTACGATAAATCCTATAATTTTAAATTTATAACAGTAACCCAGCCAATTTACTTAATGACACGAACTGATTCAACAGTCCTATCGCAATCTCCATGCTAACGTCCTTATTTGTAAGCTAGCCTATCTATCATAATAGCGACATTAATTTAACAAGGGAGAAGCTGGTGCATCGATAGGCGTGGCCTATAAGTTCGCAGATGAACAGCGAAAGGGTTTGAAGGATTGTAGTTTCGAAACTTCTACAAGGATTGTATAGTCCATCGAGGTAAAATCTTCATCGGGTTTCTAAGATGCCTATGAATATGAAAGCAATGTAACCAAGTCACAAGTATATACCCTACCGATAAAATCTCTGAACCGTGAACATGCAAATATTGAATCCCCTAGCTTTTGTAGAATTGTTTACCTTGTTCCAGTCAATGTCTTGATAAGTAGTCGGTTGATAACAGCTGGATGCGATGCTGACATCTTCGGAAAATGAGCTGCATTTTGCTGCACGGAGTAAGAGAACCAGTAGGAACACACGCATGCTGAAGATCAAATTGAATGCAAGTCGAGAAAATGAAGAAGACTGCTCTTTATTATAAGATCAATTGAGCAATACACAAGCACAGCGTCACACGAATGCAAACGGTTGATTATGCTTGCAAAAGGGGCATTGATTGCTGCATAATAAAGCGCGTGCAAGTACAGGGTTGCATTCAAAAACTTCCAGTGATTTCAAATAATTGATATTACTACAATTCATGGTCAACAAACGTAATACAATGCAAAAAACAATTTGGTAAACTTTGTATGCAATACGGATACATAAAACTTTAATATAATCGCTTCTTCTGCAGCTGGGCCAACTACATTTGTAGCTAAGTAATAATATGACTGACGCGAGTACTGTCTACAACCCTTATAAAGAATTTCACCACCCAAATAAAAAACATAAACAAACCATGCATGGGTTTTACAATAATAATAAATATATATAAAAACATGCACATGCAAGAGTCGGAATGTGAACAGCTATTCAAAGAACGTCATCCATGCAAGTATGTTAATTACTGTTGAATAAGGCAAACATAGCCAGCCAGACATGTCTTGCTCACATGTTTTGGTACTAGATATATAAGTTATTGAAATGTAAAGCAGGTAGACTCATACAATAGTCCCATACAATAATTAGTAGTTACAGGAACAATAGCGATATTATAACAGGTCAAAATAGAGAGAAGAGAAGAGAATCCAGGCTTTTTCAAATGTGGCAAAAAATCATGCAGTACCTGCCAACATTCCGAAGAAAGGAAAATTGTAAAAAACAAACAGAAGACCGCAGAAGGATTCGTCAAAAAGTTACTTGCAACTCGGAAAATGTGATCTACCTGATAAGCTGCAAAAAGTGTGGCATGCAATACATAGGAGAAACGGGAAGACATTTAAAATACCGAATAACTGTGAACATATTAGAAGTATAAAAACCCAAAACAAAGATCTGATTGTTGGCGCCAATTTCAGTCAACCGGGACATTCGCTTAAAGATTTTAGTGTCATTGGCATTGAAAAAATATTTCATGACCACATTTATCGAAAGAACAAGGAATCTCATTTTATTCATCTTTTCGGGACACACGAGCCACGAGGAATGAATATTAAGGAAGTTTAGACCAATTACAAAAAATTTTCGTTCATTGTTTTAATCAATTCTTGTACCTAATATATTTTTTTCTCAGAATTGGATCATGCATGGCCAGATATGCTAATAACAGACAAAATATCACTATATTACATTTGGCACACAGACAACTTTTCTGGTCTGCATTATACAATACTGAGAAACAAAACACCATTGTTTAATTTGGATAAATATAAAACAAAGAGAGAGATCTCATCAATGACATTTATTTCGGCCACCCGCTGTTATTTATTCAAGAAATTCACCGATTTTATTGATTATTTATCATGCGTGACTCCCATAATTTTAGACTGATTGTTTAAATATGCATGTAACTGCTTTTCGTGTTATAGTTGAACTATGTGGTTCCATTGCATTTGAACCCACGTACATTTGAACCCATGACAATTGCACCTGTATGCTATTGCACCTATGGGATTTTTTTTGTTTCACGGATAGTTAAACCCATACTAACCCTAACCCATGGGTTTTAGCACCCGCATATAGATTGAACCCGTGGATATACGCATGGGTTCAAATGTACATGGGTTCAAATGTACGGTCACCGAACTATGTATGTCTGAAGTCTGACCTTGGTCAGACGACACGTTACAGAAATATATTTGTGTGAGTGTGCAGCAAGACTCTTGAATCACTTAGGATCAAAATAGACACCTACGAAAATAAGTACGTGCAAGTGAAGAGTGTCCCAAATCCAAACTCTCTGTCGTGGTTCATTAACAAAACATTTTTTTATTTCTCTTGTGGTTTGATATTCATTTGTCTTGTTTCTGAGGTGATTTTTTGGATTTCCATATCTTCAAATTTAAGAGGAGAGAGTTTCACAGTTTGGGTCCAATAACATAGGGCATGCTGACTCACAGATGTAGTCATGAAGGGTAGGCACAAATCAGAATACCTTCTCCGGTTGAAGTAAAGTATGTCGTCAAGCAGTTAGGTAGCGCATTATTATAAAAGTCAAAAGGTAATGATAATACTTCAAATTTTATCATATCTTCAATCTTAAGTATATTTAGTGATTTGAAATAATAAGATACGTTTTCTCATCCCCAAAACAATTCTCAAAAAATTATTACAAATACTTTGCAATTTCGAAACGAGTGTTTTGTTCCCATGGAGCCATACTGAGCAACACCTGTGGCTGTGAAATAATGACTGAAACATTGCTAATTGCTAGTAAAGCTGATTGATTATTAACACACTGGGATACCTCGGCAGCAACTGCCAAGTTTCTTTTTGTCTTACTGATGACATGCGCGATTTGTGATTTCCATGACCGATTTTTATCAAAAACAACACCTAGGAACTTTGTTTCTCTCACTCTCCCAATGGACCATTCCCCGACCTTTGATCCCCGAAAAATTCTTCCTATACTTTATCATTGCAAAGTTTCCGGGGCTATTTTAAGAGTGCTTTTGCGAGTTAGCGCCTGTAAAATGGGGTATGTGTTTCAAACCATCATTATGATTCATCGCATACAACAATCTGTTTTTTAAAAGTACCGGTAAAGAATTTCAGCCTAGTCTCACAGCTATTTCTACACTAATTTTTTGTTACTGCAATTAAATTAAAACTCCTAGGAAGACAGAGTGATCATTGAATTATCTGATTTATATTTAGGTCTCCGAAACCTTTTGCATCTTGCCGATTGGCCATAGTCACGAAATAAATAAGGAAGTCGATGCTCGGGGAAAGGTTCATTTAATTATCAATTCGTGTAGAACTCACACTTTTATACTTGCTTGAATGGAATAATACAAATTTAGTTTTAGTAATTAGTGTCATTAGCAAACATGATCAACTCAGAGGATTTCAGACACCGAGACATGTCATTAATGTAAGCTAGCAAGAATAATGGGCCAAGTGAAGATCCTTGAGGAACACTGTGCCCCGTGACACAAATATATGTAGAAAATAATGCACAACTTGTTATTTGTTTTGCAGGTAGTTCCTGATCCAATTAAATAGGATCCCTTTAATTCCATAGTGATAGGGCTTTCTCAAAATGATGAAATAGTCAATGGTGTCAAGAGTCTAGGAAATATTCCAATTGCTTGTTGTTTGCCTTCAAACGCATTGATTAGCAGCCGTAGCAGTGAAGTTTTGCTTGCGGAAACCAAATTCATGCGAGTAGAAAACATTCTTGGTTTCAAAGTAGTTTGATATTCTACTATACATTATTTTTCCAAGAACTTTTGTCCATAGTTCTAAAGATCTGAAACACTACCCTTTAAATAAGAGAAAGAACATTAATTGTCTTGAAGCTTTCAATGAAACCCACTAGAAAGTGAGAGGTTGAATATATATGCTAGAATATCAATGATATCTTATGGAACATATTTCAATATTTTGAATGCAATACCATCAAGCAGGCTTTATGTCACTCCGGAAAAATGTTCATTCAATTTATTTGCAACTCTTGTATTACTGCATTCAAGTCCAATCGAAGGACAACAATTTATTTTTACCAATTAGTTCATTAATTGTTTTTTCACGCTGTCTTGATGCTGCCTTTGTGAGAGGTAAATTTAGACATATAATACTTTGATTTCTTTTTATGGAGTAGTCGAGCATAAACATACCTGCATTCATTGTACTGTTTACCCCACTTTTTCTCGCCAATATATTAATGTTTTTGGAATATATGGCGACCCCCATTGGTCTCTTTCGCTCCCCGTCCAGTTTGAAGAATCCTGATCTAAAGAACTGTGGGATTTCAAACTTGGAGATTTAACATTTAAAATTAATGTTCAACCAAAATATTGAAAATCTTTTCCAAAAATATTTTTTCACATTGGGACATATCACATATGTGTATAATAAGTCTGCCAATTTAGTATTTCCTGTTAATAATTTAGATTCTTGATATTAAATCTGTAAAACATTTGATAAATAGATACCGTAAATGCTCGTTTTAACGCCCGGTCTTGATTAAGGGCCCGTTTGAATAGCCGCCCGTGTGAACAGGATATAAAAATAAATAAGGGCCGGTGCTTGAATACCCGCCCGGTGTAAAATTTTTTTTTTCGCGGATTCGTACCTGCGGTGCGTAGAAAAAGTCAAAGTTTTCATTATTCTCGTTTAAATCATCCTTGAGAACTGGAAATGACAATATACGATATTAATTATTGTAACGATCGATCTTATCTACCGGTATTTTTGTGTGTAATTTTACTTTAAAAATAACAAGCGCCCCTGCTTGAATGGGGGCCGGTTTGAATGAGGGCCCGGTTATTGAGTATGTTTAAAAAAATAAGCGCCCGGGCTATTAAACGAGCAAATACGGTAGTTTATTTTGAAAAATCTATTACACACAAACTAAAAATGGAGAAAATAGAGAATTTATTGTTTTACTTTTGGATTATATCTAATTTTAATCATTTGAAAGTGATATCTTAAACTTTCGTACTCGACTAAGACAGTTCATTGTTAAAAGGGTCAAAAACCAAAAGAAGAAGAAAAAACTACAAATATCAAGACGCGAAAACTAGTCAATTCTAAAACCTTGGTTGGAATCTCTCCGCATTAAAAAGTCTGGAAGGTTGCACTTTTTTCAATTATTTCATCACCGTTGAATTATTGGTAATATGTATTTTACCAAAATAAATAAGTTATTGCTTGGGAAAACATTCATTAACATTCCCGTCCAGTCTGAACAGCTTGTTCCGAGCAAACCCAAATTCAAACAGCAGAAATAAAGATAATTTTTTTATTCCATTCGTCAGTAAAAGTATTTCACAAGAATCAATTGTAGTATGTGGGCCAAAAGCTTGGAATTCCCTACCTAATGACATCAAAAAGTCAAAATCAAACTCAGAATTTCGTTCCAAACTTAAACAATATATATTATCGTCATATTAGCAAATTTCTCTGCTTTGAACATATTACTGTCTTTGAGATTATTTTTTAAGGTGAATTCAACACTGAAAAGGAGAACCTTACATGATTTTGATTGGACAACTATCAGGAACCGGTCGAAATCTTCAGTCGCCATAGAACAGATGGCAACTTCAATAACTCCACAGGATACTTCACCCGGATTCAACATGAAACAATGGACTGATTCAATAACTAGCACACCATTCTAATTTCATCACCATGCTTAAATAATCAGACAAAGAAACAAAAGCAAACAATAGGGACAATGATCACTGTTAAAGTAGCATGCTGCTTTATTTAACTTCATTCCATTATTCTCGCCCAGCACCAAATTAAACAATCTCAATCCTTTCTCTATTCTAGGATATCATATTATTCAACTATATTATTGTATTATCAGCACTAAATCGAACAATCCTAACCCTTTCTTCATCACAGGATACCATATTTTATTATTATTTTAATTCAATTTGGAAATTCCATGACATGGCAAAATGATATTCTTTATAATTTATTGTTCTCTATTTCAATATACTTTTATACCTTTGAATTGTCTGGCTGAAATGCGATCATGATAGGTTTTATGAAAATGCAAACTGAATATTCTTTTTTTGAATCCTGATCTTTTTTAGCGGTATTCAGAACTATAAAATACAAAGTACCTTAAAAAAGCGTATAACTTGACAGAACTTATTACATTGCATTTCCCCAAGCCTGGAAGGAACGCATTTTTGCTAGATTAGCCATTTATTACTTAAGACACTCACCCTTGAGTGGTACATACCATATATGCACATACTCCTATAAAGTTGACTATTTCTCCCATTTATAGTATGTGGTATCATTATTCGAGGGTGCTATATGTCCAAATTTTATTCTTATGTATATATATTATGTATTATATTTCATGTTGTATTGTCTCTATTTATTGATGTTGTCTTGTCCTACCAACTCCTTTGTACAAACAGTTGGGCATACTCCACCGTTACCCATGTTGCCTAATCCACCCTCCTCGCACAACTGTCTGTATGAAGGACCATATTATACTTATTCGATTTATTGCATTTTATGCTTATCATAAGGGGTGTATGCCGCACGTTCATGTTTTTTAGGCCAGTATGGTCTTGTGTATACATCCCGTCTTCAATGTTGATATTTACTAACTCCTGTGTTTTTGCTTTTACGAGACGAATAAACATACATACATACAACCGCTGTGTTCAGATCATGTGATCATGTGAAACATGTTCTCACATATTTCCACAACTCAAACATCAATCGAATAGTTTCAAATTTTTATATACAGTTATTATTCTTCAAAATAAACAATATAATATTAGTTATATAAAAAACTCCGGCAAATTTTTCTAAAATTAAGATGAATGTGTATTGCTGAATGTTTATAGATTTTAAGGTGCTTAAAACTGACAACCTTAAACATAATAATAGGGGAAACCCCATTCCAGTCGTTAGGTGCGTTTGCGCTTCTCTATCGCTTGGTCATATTTAGCGCTTAACATTTGATAACCGTGTATTGTCACCGCCATAGTTTTAGCTGATGAACAAGCTCAGCCATATGCGTGATATTTCAAAGTGTAGGCTGAGATAAAGTAGTTGAGGAATGAACCGGTATTTGGAAAGCTAGCATGACAACCAAGCTGTCTGACTGCAGAACTGAGAGTCATTGGTACAAATTCATCAAAATAGTTTCTCCAGAATTGTGAACTAAGTTGTAATCCAAAAAACTAGCAATGCCGTACTAGGACTGCCAGTTTTACGACCATTCATGCCTTAATGATTCCAGATGTGAAGTCAACCAGGCCCACACATTCACCAATGTTAAGGAATTTAATCAATCATTCATTTCTATTGGCTTGTTCAGCAGAGAAGACAAATTAAACCAGCTTATCCATTGCAAATTACCAGAACCTTACATGTTTTTAAATTTTATGGTAGATGTATGTTAGAGGATTGGCCATTATTTTCATTTTATTATTTACATGCATGTGAATAAAGCATTTAACATCTAATTACAACACCTTTACTGTTTAAGCTCCAATACTAGCCACAAATAAACACCCAAAAAAATTGACTTGGCTAATCATTTTTAAATCTGATACATTCTCAGTCTTACTCTGCTGTACACACCTTTTGCAATATTACCGCACCAAATCAATATTTATATATGCTAACAACTCAACAAGGGCTAGGCTGAAAAATCATTAGCAACCAAGAAATGGATGGAGGATATGAAGAGCTTGATCGGCCTTTATTTGGAGTGAGCACAAGAAGGGTAAGAATATAATTGTACATTGGATTATAAAAATGTTCTAAAGAGCTTACTACAATTCTTTTGACCAGATTGTACATCACCATAATACCGATATTGTTAATTAAAGCAAGCATGAAAGCTCAATTTCAGCTACCAAAACTGCAATAAAATCTGATGATGATGTTTGGAATGTATGTTGAAATGATGGGAATTGTGTTGTAGTATAAATAATAAATGTAAGAAAAATAAATACTCCCATCTCATGCAAAACTAAGATGACAATAACACCTTATAAAACATTGCAGGGACGTCTGTGCAATCTCATAGTGGGAACCATAACGAGCGTGTTAGTTGCAGGAACTGTGATAATGTCAGTCATATCTCTAACCTCTAGGAACTGCGAGCTTGGAGCAAACAATATACTATTTGGGGTCTGCATTGTAGTTGTATGCATCTCGTTGCTGATACTAGTAAGTTACAATCTTTAATATCAAATAATTAAGAAATCTTATGTAAACCACCTCAGTGTCAGTACTTTGTTTGAAGCAGACGGATCCATGTGTGGGATTAGATGTAATCTCCAACACACATCTTGTCGAGGCCACATGGTAATTCAATGTATGAAACTAACTACTGTACTTCGTAAGGCTCATAAATAAACTCAACAGTAAAAGTTTAAAAATATATTTATTTTATTCAGATATATTGGTATAGGGAAGGAGATGTCGATCCAAAGTTCAAGAAGTTGATTTATTTTAACTCTGCTTCTGTTGTGATGCTCTGTATCTGCGCAAACAGCTATTTCTTTAGCTGCCATAAACTCAACAGTATTGGAAATAACACAGTCACATGATTTGATGTGTAGAGCTTTCCTGTCATTCCTGGAGAACTTTAACAAAAGCGTTTCTTGGCACTGTGACTTTACCAATCATTCGAAGTCTCTTTTCTTCATCTTTATGCTTTCGAACAAGCTTCATCTTTCTTGTCATGTCACCACCCCCCTGTGAAAGTGGAACAATGACTTGATGTGAATTAAAATACATATTTTTCTTATAATTCAAAGAATTGCTATAATAGGGTGGACACAGTGCATTATATTAATTAATGTCAACAATGTAAATGAACTTACCAATTTCTGAAAGATATCTCTTTTGTACGGTTTTATCCTGAAGAAATGTGAACATGTTACAATTCATTTTTAGTTTATGTACTTTTATATTTATATATATATATATATGCTCTTACAATGACTTTGCTATTACTTTGCTTCCAACGACGGCTTGTATATTTATTGGAAATAGTTGCGGTGGAATTGTTTCCTTGAGTCGTTCACATATTTGCCGTGCCATTCGCTGATACTTTGACTCATTAAATACTGAAAATAAAAATATCATAAAAACCTCTTCTTGTATGTAACGACTCTATGGGATGAGAAGAAGCTTGACATGTATAAATATCATCAGAAACCTATATTCAAGTCCATTGGAAGATACTTATGTCTGATTGCTGGACTCCTCGCCTTCTTAGGGGTGGTTCGCACAAGTTATTAAGTTCCAAAACCTTGTATGTAAATAAATATATTGATACCTGATGACAACTCAGGAACTATTTTTCCATTCAATAAAATATCAACTTTAGCAAGATTTGTTTCTTCATACTCCGCATCTTCATAGTCAAAACTAAAAAAAGTTAAATAGCTCAAATCCACTAGGCCAGGGAATATATCTTTCAATATGCCTAAAACAAGTTTCACGAAAGTCTTCTTCCAGACTTAATACTCCATTCAAATGTAATCTTAATATTATATCAAGCGGCACCTTACCAGAAAAATCTCTTCAATGTATTCACCTTAAAGAAGCAAACAGTAATTCACTCACCTTCCATAACCTGATGTGACAGACTTCAATTTGTCATAAAAATCAACAATAATCTCATCTAGAGGGAGACGATAAACAACAATAACACGATTATCATTGATGTAGGAAAGACTTTGTTCAACTCCATTTCTCCTCTTGAAAAATATGTGTGCAAATTAAATTTGGTAAGAAGTGTATTTTAAATGATTTTTATTGACCACCTGATTAAAATTATTTAAGTTGATCCACTTCCTCACATTTCAATAGCCAATGTAAGCCCACCTGTTGAAACTATTGTGACATTCCTAGGCGAAGCTAAAGCACATTCACATAATGAAGGGTGCCTTATCATTTGACAATGTATGGCCTTTACGGCAATGCAATGCAATAGGGGATTTAAGAAATAACCTAGTGCTGATAAACAAGAAGTTGTCCACAGTAGAACAAAACACCGATTCAATTGAAAAGTGACAACTAGGAAAATACTTGTATCTATATATATTGATGTCTTTCATATCAGGTATCACATGAAAATGATATATACCTCACACAAGTCCATTACTGCCTCAAGATACTTTGCAGGTGCCATCACAGTTCCAGTAACCATTGGCTGAAGAAATGTTTTTATCCATGATAAGTCAGGAAAATCCCCTGCGGTTGATATTGTCATTTCATCGGATCCATGCTTTTTTATTTGAGCAGGAGATGATAAAATTGCTGCAAGTTAAAGGTAAAATAAGATCTATAAAAAGACTAAATAGCAATCGGAGACCGCCGACTTATCGATCTACGGTTTCGACTCCTTCACTCTGACTCAATAGCGACACCACTTGTCCCACCACTAGTTAATTAATAACTCGCTAATTATACAACATAATTCATCCAAAATCAATAGGCTTCTGGTCCGCGATATGATGAATGCACATGCAAAATCGCTTACGTGAGATATCGCGTAACATCCGACGAAAGTGTCTAACAGATCGAGATCGATAAGTAATGATGGTAAATAGTAAGATTGAAATTCATGAATACCTTTATAAGGCACTGTAGGTGTTGTGCAAATAACCGTAGCATCGTACTCCTGTTCCAATCTTTGTTTAAAAACATCCAAGTGCAATAATCCGAGAAATCCCAATCTGAACCCAGCACCTGATGAACAGTCAATATAGCATAGTATATAGCACAACATGTCATCCTATTTCTGTAATATCAAACACTTATTAAAAAAAAGTGATCAGGCAGAGATTATATTATTGATTGCTCTTTTAGTTAAAGATGGACAAACAATACAGACAAATTCACACCACAGTGGTTGAATAACTAGGTACACAATCTGTTCGTTCTTACTGCATATTAGTCAAGTACATAATCAACCTACCTAGTGCAGGGCAGTTGCAATTATGCACCGTAACACTGCTGTCATTTAGAGTTAATTTATCGATTGATTTCTTCAAATTTATATATTCTGACTGGTCATTAGGATACATTGTACCCAACACCATGGGTTTCATTGATTTGAAACCTTCAAAAGCCTCAACTGGAGTTCCAACATGATGAAATGTATCACCTATCCTTGCTTCGGCTGTCGTTTTCATGCCACAGTACACGCAACCAACTTGGCCTAAAATTTGTAAAAAATTAAAAGAATTATGGTAGGTCTCTGTTGAAAATGTTCGATATATCTGAATAAAATTCCTGTTACTATTTGTGGGTGTCACACAACACTACTTCAATCCAAAAAAAAAAAAAAAGCATGTACAGTATTTTACGGACTATAATACTCACCTTAAATCCCCTTTTCCCCAAAATCGGTCTAACGTCTTATAAGCTGATGTGCCTAATGTATGAATCAAGTAGTGCTATATTGTCAACACTTAAAACCAGTACCATAACAGGTTGCCCATTACAGCCCAGTTCGGCCTACATATGAACAAAATCCCAAGCAATCAATTAACGGAGCACCTTATAACCCAGTTCATAAAATATGGTATGTCAATGACTAGGTATTCTTGAATTGATTCTGTCAAAGTAAAAACAAATTTCCTGGATATAAGCATATTTACCCGCATACAGAACTCCTGTTGAGTGGAAATCAGGTTTCAATATTCCAACATCTTTCACCTCATATGTTGTTTTTGATCTAGGTAGAGATTGCAAAAAGTGTGATGTAATCTGATCCCCAGTTTTTATCTTGCCACTAGTTACAGCTATATTAGCGTTAACACCTTTATAGTTTTCATAACAAGAATCGAACACAAGAGCTTTCAGAGGTCCAGATGAGTTGCAGCATTTAAGGTGTTGTTTTGGTGATGGAAGTCTATCAATAATAGCCTGAATATAAAATAATGCATTTAGTATTGGAGCAAAAGCATTCAAAAATTTGTTGCAAGTTGTAGAATTTAGTAAGTACTAGGAAAAATAATCAAGAAAAAGAGGTATGATTAAGTTTTTTAGCAGAATATTAGGTGCTCCCGAGATATGTGCACCAAGAGGGTGCACAATCTTAACATAGTATGTGTACCAAGTTAGAGTTATCAGGTTGTGCGCCATCTTACTTCTGGAGTGCCGAATACTAAATTGTTAGTCAATTATACTAACACTAACCTCTAATACAGATTCCACATTAATTCCTGTTTTTGCAGAAATCGCAATAATATCTTTTCGATCAATGTCAAAAAACTTTTCCATTTCTTGGCAAACTGCATCAACATTTGCAGTTTTTAAATCAATTTTATTAATAATTGGAATAACATCGATTCCTGCATCCATAGTCAAATAGAAATTAGACAGAGTTTGTGCTTCTACACCTTGAGAAGCATCAACCACGAGAAGAACGCCTTGACATGCTGCAAGAGACCGTGAAACTTCATAAGAAAAATCAACATGACCCTGAAATTAGAAGATATATAAAATTTTTGGATTTAATATGATCCAAGTCTCAATTGGGTACAACGACAACTACTGTGATGTCAAAAAGTAACCAGAACAAAATATAAAGAATTCAATACTAATAGTAAGTACGGGTGGGGTTACAATGGAATTAGTACTGTGCACTGAAGGCACAATGGGTGACACTGACACCTCAAAGCGTTTGGAAGAACTAGAAGCTGTGTGTCCTCTGCAGCTTCTTCTTTTTTTCGCTACAACTACAAAGACCTGACATAGTAAGAATACAATGTTCTAAATTGAGAAGTACCGGAGTGTCGATTAGATTCAATAAATACTCTTCGCCTTTATGATAATAAGTTATTGATGCAGTTTGTGCTTTCACAGTGATCCCTCTTTCTTTCTCAACTTGTAACTTGTCAAGAACTTGTTTGTTGCTAGCGCTGGCCTCTATTGCTCCAGTAACTGGAAATGAAGGATTTCTAATATTATAAATGCGTGGATAAAAAGTTTTGAGAAATAGAGAACATACGGTAATCCAATCACAAAATTAGACATTTTAGTCAATTTGCCACTGACGCCACTGTTATTCCAGTTTGGTCATTATAGTTTGGTTGATTCGTATTCATTCAAGCTAAGGGTTACAACAGTAATCTAATTAGCGTAGGACACTAACTTTCCAACAATCTGTCAGCAAGTGTACTTTTTCCATGATCAACATGAGCAATAATACCGAAATTTCGAATCTTGTCTGGTGGAAAATTTGACAAATCAATCTGTTTTGATGTTTTCTGTATAGAAAAATAAAGTTTCGAAAAGGAACTATAACAACCTTGTAATTGAATAAGTATACTCGGACATGGTTTTGTGAGCATTAAGATTATTATTATTATATAAATTAAAATTATATATGTTATGATCTATATATTGTGCATTTACGCACAATATAGTTGTGATAATGATTGTAAAGTTTTAGTTAATGATATGAATATTCAAACACGAATGAAACAATTGTAACATATAAAAGCAAATAGAAATAAAATGACAATGCAGAAATGAACATCAGGAGGTCAAAATAGACGACACCACTTGTAGAGTAATCAGTAATTTATTTTTCCACCATACTAAAGTCTGAAAGTACACATGTTTGCTAAAGCACCTATGATTATCCTGCATGGGTTCGCAGGTTTGAATCCAGTAGGGGATAATTATGTGCGGGAGAATTGCTGGACTGCTCACCGCTGTAGGCCGGTTCACGTACAGACGTAACCGCTGCTCAGCTGGTTCGTTATGGCTTCTTCCACCATAGACCATGGATACCAGGTACCCGACACAAACTGGTACAGGTAACCGGACAAGAGGCAGTGGTTCACCATATGATTAAGCCATCTTGTGGCTTTCCCCTCCTGTGATAAATATGTAAATCCTCATGACAATATAGGCAGATAGGTACCGGTACCCGTACCGGTACTGATGTAAAAAATTAAAAACCTGACTTGCTTTTGATGATAAAAGCCTTATTTGCTGAACAGAACGATATAAGTTTCTTCCATTTCTAGCATATCCAACCAAATTCACCTCGGCTACAGCCACAAATAACGAACGGCTAAGATTCATTTTAACAAATAATATCGCAATATATTAGCCTACTCGCTGATTCCTAGACTCAGACATACCGTACTAGATCAGAACTACTGCTATTTCAGTACTTCGCCATGCGTTCATCAAATACAGTTCAATTTGTGCCCTGCAAACTTCAGGCAATTTTGGTTGGTTAATTTGGCTTTGACTCCAACTCCAACCAAGGTGACTATAACACAGGTGAGGATCAGCCGCCATTCTGGGTCCGGCCATTGAGGTGTATAATATAACACCTCAATGGGTCCGGCAAAACGCGGGTCCGCGACCAAGCTCAGTTTGTTTTAGCCAAAGTGACTATAACACTTTATAGTCACTTTGACCAAGGGCCGGCAACCAACTTGCCTAATGTAAAACAGGTTCATGGACGCCATCTTGTGCCATATTGGGAAAACGCGAAACAATGGAGAATTATGGGAAATTTTCGTCGTGTTGTTGTACCGAATCCAATAAGTCAGCTGTTATAAGGGCTAGAATAAAGCCGAAGGGTGGATTTTGAACTTTAAGCTATATGCTACTTAAATATATAACGCAATTAAAAATAATCTAATGCGTTAAATTTGGCCACAAACACAACGTAGAACCATTTTTGGTCATCTTTTTGGAAACTTTTAGAGTGATACGCCGATTTGACGGAGTATAATGCCACCGCAACAATCCTACAATGTCATTTGGTCTTCTAGCGCAGCTCGGAGCTGAGCAGGCGGGCATTATGGAGCTTGACAGGCGAGAAAATGTTGACCCGAAAATGGAAACGGCCATTGAAGCGAATTTGAGTCCCGAGGTAATTTCGACGAATAAATACAACTGTCCATCTGTGACATCACAAAGAACGCTATTGTCAAATGGTCAATTATGATGATGAGAATGGCCAACTTACTTCGGAAGCAACTCGAAAACGGCCATACTTGTATTTAAAGACAATTTAATGTACTATAAATGCAATTTAGCAAACATGAAAGTATATCATCATGTTCGCCTAAGCTTCTACTTCAAAATGCGACCTTCAAAATCTTTCTATCTAAAATATTAATGAAAATATTAGGTATGTTTCAATAATTGTGTGAGAACTTCCCATAAGGCGCCGTGTTATATGGCCGAGAACAATAGGCACAAGATGGCGTCCATTGTCAGAGCGTTGCCTCGCTTGTATTATATATACGCTTTGACTTTGACTCCAACCAATGGACCTTTCCCCGACCTTTAACCCCCGAAAAATTCTTCCTGTACTTTACCATTGCAAAATTTTCGGGGCTATTTTAAGAGTGCTTTTGCGAGTTGGCGCCTGTAAGATGGGGTATGTGTTTCAAACCATCATTATGATTCATCGAATACAACAATCTGTTTTTTAAAAGTACCGGTAAAGAATTTTTGCCTAGTCTATCAGAGATATTTCTAAACTAATTTTTTATTACTGCGATTAAATTAAAACTCCTAGGAAGACAGAGTAATCATTGAATTATCTGATTTATATTTAAGTTTCCGAAACACAACAGAAAACTAACGAATAGAGTTCAAAAATGCGAAAATGAGGTAATGTTTACGATCACGCTTGAAAATCTGTCTGAGTGAGAAAAGTGTCTGAGCGGATGCGAAAAGGGAGCATTGTACGTCACCTTTTGCATCTTGCTGATTGGCCAATGTCACAAAGTAAACAAGGAAGTCGATGCTCAGGGAAAGGTCCATTACGCTCCAACAACTCAATGCAGCAATCCCTTATCCCATGGACTTTTCCCCGACCTTTGACCCCGGAAAATTCTTCCTATTCATTACCATTGCAAAATTTCCGGGGCTTATTTTACGAGTGGTTTCGCGAGTTGGCGCCTGCAAAATGGGGCATTTGTTTCAAATCATCATTATGATTCATCGCATACAACAATCTGTTTTTTAAAAATACCGGTGAAGAATTTTAGTCTAGTCTATCTATCACTGCTATATCTACACTAATTTTTATTCCTGCAATCAAATTACAACTCCTAAGAAGACAGAGTGATCATTGAATTATCTGATCTATATTTGAATTTCCGAAACACAACTGAAAACTAACGAATGGAGTTCTAAAACGCGAAAACGAGATAATGTTTACGACCACGCCCGAAAATCTGTCTGAGCGGATGCGAAAAGGAAGCATTGTTACGTCACTTTTTGCATATTGCTGATTGGCCAACGTCACGTGGCCAAGTAAACAAATAGGTCGATGCTCGGGGAAAGGTCAATAACATTAATATGGCGTGAAAAATAAGACTCCTGATTTTCTTTTTTGTTTTATTCTATAAATTCATTAAAGCGGATGCGAGTACGAGTTTTGAATTAATATATCCTGCTATAACATATGAAAGCTTTTGTGCAAAGAATACAGCGTTTTACATGAAGGGAAATAAAAGAATTTAGTAAGGCAAATTGAGGCCCGATGTTTTGTTATGCCATGATGAACGCTTCGAAAAAGATAAAAAAATTTCGTATCGAAAGTCTAAATATAAGAATAAAAAATTACGCTCGCTTATTTTCTATTTTGTAACATTTTTTTTGCATTGTAATTGCGTATATGTCGTGCAACAGCAGAGCCTCCACAGTTTGATTAAAAACTAGATAATGACCCGGAACATAGGATTGCGACAACATAATAATTAAAAAAGGACAAAGGGTCCATTTCATGTCCGAAAATGCACGCAATTTATTCGGACATCCGTTCAATAACAAAAGACCAGCATGGAACTCATGACAAAAGTTTTATACGAAAATAAGTTTGACGACGTGCAGTAATATTGAAAATCGGTAATCATCACGAACTTTTGATTTTATATCGTTTCCACGTGTATTAAAGTATTGCCACATATATCCTGTCCAATTTTCTCTATTCCGAGGCGCTGTCATGTCATGATGGCGTTACCAGTTAACGAAAACAGTTTTTTTTTTATAATAAAAAGGTATTGGGTCCAATATTTGTGTCGATTAATTAAAGAATAGGACATCGGGTTTCGTATGTTCAAACCTAAATTGAAGTTTTGGCAACTCTCATAAAATTCTTGAAATTTTAAAAAGTCGGTAAAACAAAAAGTGCGATAAGACATATGGGTGTGAAAGATGTGGATAAAGACCGTGACGCTGTCAATTTTCTTTCCTGCTGAACCTTATCATTTCAGAATCCTTACCATTTCCATTTTTTTTATAATAGTCCTTATTTTGTACCGCGCGCCGCTTGCAGTATCATACCATTATAAAACACATACAATTCAAAGCAACACTCACTTTTGAACACAAATCAATCAGTCAATTTATTTTACTAATAAAGTTACACAAGCTACTTCGCATAGACATGGATACAATCGAATTGCCATCCGCCACCCAGATCACGGAACAGAGTATGTTCGCAACTAATTTGATTTTGCTCAATAAATCAACTCCGATGACAATCATTTGATCATATTTTGCATTATTTCAAACCATGGCTGTGAATTTGAAACAAAAAGTCATTCAAAAAACAGGCCGACTGAATTAAAGTTAACAAGATTGACTCAAGCGGTGCTCCCGAAGTATTCGTACCGAGGTGGCGTACAACCTGAACATAGTATGTTCACCAGGTTAGGGTTGTTCGGGTTGTGCGTCATCTTTGTACAAATACTTCCGGAGAGCCCTCAAGCTCCACAATGAATTTGGTGAATGCAAGCTTCGTTTCTGCTGAAAGTTTTGGTTTAACATGACATTTTTCAGTTTAAGTTCAGATTAGAATTTGAGGTTGAATATATTTCAACTCCGCTAACCTCCAAGAATTCGAAAATTCCAATCTATGGGAGATTATACAAATATGCAAAATAATGTCAAATTCTAGACTTCACATTACAACAACAGATAATGTTTTCAACCTTTTTACATATAAGCGGAATAGATAAAGGCATTGAAAAAAACAAAAAATGTATACATTAAATTGCAGGCATTTCGTTAAAATATTGCTTGATATATTATGTGTAATATGGGAAGAGTCAATTTAGATCCCTTAAGAGTATATGAGGCTTCATTTAAAAAAATTTGGGGGGGGGGGGGAAATAAGTTAGCAAAATTAGGAATTTACATGCAAGTCTTTATAATGTTGATAAGAATATACTAGATTACAATCGCAATTAAGTTGACAAGCTTGAAAATATTGGATTATTATTAACAGATTATATTGAAGATGATTAAAAAACAAAGTGAAAAGTATATATAAATTGAGAAAGTTTTTCCACAACGCTAAATATTTCAATTTAATGAGTTTATTTGATATCTTTCTTTACGGGACTGGCAACAATGACATTTCTAAACATATATGCAACAGTAATAGAAAGTTGTGATAACAAACAAGGATACTTAGTTAAACCAAATTAACAATAGTGGAATTATTGATTCGAGTGCTCAATACAGATTTATTGTAATATATACTAGGAAATTCAGAAACTTCAAAAAGTGCTCACCAGTAACGAATATGTTCGATAATAATATACAAATTTTGCTTCATAAATCAGGAGATAAAATATGAAAAAATTGGAGAAAAGGTCAGGTCAGTGGATATATTTTTGGAACAACTATAAATGTTTTGTTTGTTAAGTGCAAATGTTTAATAAAAAATGTGCAAAAATTACAGTAACTTGAAGAAATCGATGTGGAAGAATAAAAAAATTATAATGATGAAAGAATAAGCAGGTGGAAGATTTTTGAGATTGAAGGATGGAAGTACATAAATGTATTCAGAATAAAACCACATTGCCAGTCTAGTCAATCAACAAAATAGGCAATGTCATATGAATTTCTCAACTAAATTGAATAATATGGAATATTCACTGTATCTGTGCCAAATATTTATCTAAAAATAGTTGAAAAAGTTTATACTATATAGAAGGTAACCATATACTGCAAGTCAAAACACATAATATCCTATAAGAGGAGTTGTTGCATGTCCGAGTATTTCTGATTGAATCAGTTAAACGCCCTGCAATTACTTATTCTAAAATTGATCGGTTCTCGTTGCTTGATTGGAAGATTCAAAAAATCATGACACTGCTATACGTAGTGGTAATTCTGAAACTTTGGAAGTTGAAGATGTATTATCACCTTCAGCTGAACAAGAAAGTAAAGAAAGTAATCAATATACAACCACATGAATCTATACTAAGAAATTTATTAAGATTATCTAAATGGGAGTATCCATCTTATCTTATTATAGCTAGAATGGAGAAAATGCTGATACAAATATGCAAATTTCCTACAAATAAGTTTGGTGTTGTTATCAAATCTACCAGAATTTTTTTTTTGAATTATCTACTATACATATTATAATAGGAAGGCCTTAATATTCAATTCAAATTAAAAAAAAAATCACTGATAATAAAAATTTTGCTCCTTCACGTCCATATACAATACCTTTAGAAAAGCCTTTCTTGGAATCGTCAAAATTTTCTGTTTTCTTCTCATCAACTGCATTATTGTTGTTTTCATTTCTCTTCTCTTTCTTATTCAAATTAGAAATCTCATTTTCCTTTGAATTTTTCTCATCAATGATAGATTGTTTCCTTGCACTTCTTGCTCTCATCTTCACCAAATAATTTTGAAAAAGAGAAACCTAGAAAAGAAAAATGGACATTAGAAAATCAGCAGATGAGAATCATTAGTTTTATGCCTACAAATATGGACATATCAGATGAATCTGTTTTCTGTCATAGGTAGGAGTCAATGAACAAAAAAGTACAGAAATGGTGATTTGTTTCAATCAAAAATCAAGACTCATTTGAAAATTGACGAGGTTAAAATTCATTTGGCGCAGTGGCCTAGTGGGTGAAAGAGTTGAACTTAACTATAATGGAATCGCAGTGTAAGATTACAGGCTCAATACCATGCCTACCATCTCATCAAAGGTGTAATAAATCAAACTAATATATATTGTACTTGAAAAACAAAATAGCTACTTAAATATCAGTGGCTGCTTGACCAGTGCAGAAGAAAGGCGTATAAAGGCGTTCAAAAAAAAAATGTCTCTCAATAATCAGGCAGACAATTCTCCATTATCCTGTTCAACACAGCTTGGCATAGTTCTCATTCTTATTTAAAATATGAGAGTTAAAGCTACAATAACTTATTGAAATATCGAAGTGGTATATATGTGGTGACAACGACATATGCAGGGAGGATATCTTCAGCTAGCATTATGACAACATGGTTTTCCATTTTAATGCTAAATTGCTCCCAAATAGAAGATGATATATACTTACCAATTGTTCTTGCTTTTTACTCTGTTCAAGAATTTCAGGATTTTCAGTGTCATCGTCAATATAAAACTGAGTCAATGCGGAAGTAACTCTTCTAATAACGGAAGCTTCTAATTCATACGAAAGAGGTGGAAGACTAAGTAGGCAGCTTATTACACATTGCATTGTTGAAGAAATAGACTAGAATAAAATTGACTATATATAAATTTATACCTAAATTTTTAAATAAGTACCGTAATTTTAACTCATCTAGTGTATCAATCTAACTCTATTTTCAGGATAAAACCCTATCACTGCGGTTGGCGCATTGCCATACAGTATTGCTTTTGCACTTCTGATTACCCTGTAAGAGTTCGCAAGTTCAAATCCTGCGGTGGGTAAATTGGACTCTTTGCTGCAGTAGGGTGGTTCACACAAAAGCTGCTCGGCAACATCTTTCTCCACCGTCAAGTCCATGCATTTGAAACAAACAACTGGTTAGCTAATCCCATATCCAACATAGACTAGTAACTGGACAAAAAGCAATGATACGAGATGTGAATCATTCTGAGAATATGCTTGAACAAGAGCAAAATAAGTAAGTAGTTTTGAAACCCGAATTTTCAGAAGAAAGTTTATAAATATCAATCAAGAATTATTTGGGCAGGCATTGTAATATCTTTAGCCAAATTGATGGAAATAGGAAAAATTTAAATATAATAATGAAGATTATATTATGGTTTCATCTCATCTAAACATGATTAGGAAATATATTAAAATATACTATACCTTTCCCAAACTTTTCAAAGCTTTCTCAAATAATATGGGGTCAGGACATTCTGTGGCCGAAGATATTTTGTTGTGACTTGGTCGAGATTCTTTAATTAAATACTCAATATTTGGAAGTGTCAAAACAGGTTCTGATAAATGTTCGATCCATGACCACATTAAACAAGCAAGAAGATGTGCATCGACCTCTTGTTCAACACCTGACCATGCTCCTTCTCTGGTGTTCAGTTCAACTTGTTTTGTGTAAACCTACGTAATAAAGTATTGTTGATGTTACAGCTGAATTGTTTGTTCAACTCACTGATGCTGTGATCAGGATTCAAACCTGGTTTTGTCACAGCCTGTTGTAAGCTAAAATTGAAAAGTCGATGCCACAATTTTTGTCAATTAGACTTCCGTAGTTGGAGCCAAAGATGTCTCAAAGTTTGGAGTCAAAATTGGGTATAAATAAAGTGACAGCATCAAAACAGGAGAATTTTTATATTATTGATAATGGCTAAAGAAGTTGTTGGACTAGAAGATTTGAACATTTCGATGGTGAACATATTACATGAAAGCAACATTTCCAAACATTGGAAAAATATTGGGATATTTACTTTCTCCAAAGGAGATTTTTCTCACTAATTTATTTAGGATCAAGATGTAGTCTTAAAGAGCACTAAAGAAATTTGTCAGTTGAGTTTGCAGGAAGATTCATTTAACTGCTAGTTAAAACCAGTCAAGATTGATTCATAGACTGAAGCACACTCTATTTACTGAAATTAGAAATAATTAAAACTAGAGAAAGGTGCCCAAAAGGATGCGAATATTCAAATATCTGAATTTCCATGCTCACTAATGAATTTTGCAATATTAAACTTGTATGATTGTCAATGGTAGGTAAACAAAAAACATTAAAAAGACAATTCACCTTTTCCCAAAGCCATTCATTGTCAGTTAGTTTATATGCGAGTGCCATTGCCACTGTAATTGGATCCTTGATTCTTCTTTTTGACGCAGAACCAGTCGGAGTTCGAACATCATCACTACTACTGCTTTTACTACCAGGAGAAAGAGAAAGAAAAATATCATTGGTCATCTCGGTCGTCATAAGGAAAAGGTCATCATGCGATATTTTTTCATAGTTTCTCAAATCACAAAGACTTTGAGTCAGTGTTAAATTCCTTAAAGGTGGTTGCTTCTGTGCTCCATTTTGTTTTGCTGACATTCTTTTCAGAAAACTTGCTGATTTTGGTCGTTTTTTGCTTGTTGGAGAACTTTTAGGCAATGGAAGTGTTAAATCACCAATTCTATCGTTATCATTAGATTTTATATCAACTGCATCTGTTAACTTCGGATCTTCCGAATCATCCTGATCTTTCTTCATGGATGTTTCTTCCTTATCAGTAGCCCTTTCATCAGCCAAAAACTCTTTGCTGTGATCAACTCTAAAATATAAAAACTTTTTTGATCGTTGTTTATACAACACATTCATGTCTTCCACTGGGATTGGCCATGGGACTTGGACACAAATCTTTAACCTGCAGCACCTTTATCAATTCTAACACTTTGATCACTAGGCCACCCGGCACGCCTCTTGTCTACAGAAAGACTTACGAATGGATAATTTATGTTACTGATATATGTTAAGTTAACATCTGTTCATTCTAATAGATTTATAAATAAAATAATTTCACCTGCTCATTAGAGGTGTACTGCGGCTACACAACTCTTCATTGCTATTATTCAGCAAACTATCATTTTTCGTATCAATATTGCATTCATCCCCAGCTGAAATGGAAAAAGTACAAAATTAATGAAAATTAGAAAATGACATGCCTTAGGAATAGGATGAGTGAGTTCGATTTTGAACTGAAAACACTTCATCTTTGAAAATACTTCTTTCCTTCTAAAAATATTTTCTAACCAATATCGTGAAACTTACAACAACAGAAAAGCTTTGTACCAAATCATTAATAAATAATAAAAAAATTGACAAAAGACTTAGTGAAGAGATGAAACAACTATTTATCTTTGTATCAAAGTTACATATAAAAGGCCTGCAATAGGATTAAACCAAAAACTTGCCATTTTTGCCAATTTGTTCAGTCCAGCTGATTTTTGATGATGTTGATTGGGAGAGAAACTTATCAGGTTTAGAATCTTCTTTCTATATGAAAATTGTGAAAGAAACAAACTTAAAAACTACTTCTGACTTAGTACGTTCAAAACATAACGGCTTATAGAGTAATTGTAGCAAACATGAAATTATTATTATAGGAGCACGAAATCTAAACAACCGCTCATACAAGTGATGACCTAGTCGTCATACATACCGTGTGATATCAGTGGCTGCTTGTAAATGCCTTGTTCAAAGCAAAAAGCATGAGTATGCGTCATAATATGAAGCAAAACAGCCATACTTCACTCTCAGATTCTGATAAAAAATGTCCGTCATCATCTTTCATTTCAACGATTTCCAATTCTTGATCTAACAATTCCTCATCAAAGACCTCCTGTTTATCTTCTACAATCGATTCGTTCGGGCAATTGTCTGACAATGGAACAACATATCAGATTTAATTTTATTGAAAAACTCATTATACTGCAAGTGCAATTGTCAGGACAGTCAGGTAATTTAATTATGCTTCGAAAATGGTATCAAGGAAAATGTGGTTAAAAACCATTGCTTACAAATAACATTGATACAATTTGCATTGATTCAGAGCCAATTATAGATTTGCAATATTCATCAAGCGGGGTATGTGAGCCCTTGAGACCTTCAACATTATTATTGATCAAATTGATTAGTGTTGTAAAGTTTGTAATTTAGAAAGTTACCAACCAGTTATGTCAACATTATTATCATCTGGTTTATCTTCTTCATTATTTCCATTGACTTGGTTTTCTTCGTTATTTTGTTCAGACTTCGCATCATCATTGATTCCACCTACAAAAATAAATATGTGAGTTGCCATTGGGAACTTAACATCGGTACGATGATTACTCGCTTTTTCTAAAATATTGGAAATAAATATATGATTGGATAAATAAATATAATATTAGATTGAATTTATTACTGGATCTGTTCAAAACCTTCAGACAGAAAAAATACCCTTTTCAGTGGGTGTGACCAACCTCCAACAATAACACTATTCATAAACACAAAGCAAATGCCAAAATACTGACATATTGTAGTTCCTATATAGGATTAATATTTTCAATGGTGGTTTTTATATTCATATTCATTCATTCATAACAACTAATGTTATTTTTTGTTATGATAACAATGCCCATGCCTATACAGTCATTGAATTAAAATTGATCGAAAAGAGTGTAATTGGTGGTCAGTTGACCGTGCAAGAAGTTCGAATAGTTTAGATCACGATAGGATGTTTTAAAATTTTGACAGCTATTTCATAATCACTCTAGTATTGCTTCCCAGTAAGTCTTGTAGGGTACGTGGAATACACAATCGATTGACTGTCTGAAGCACGAGGCAATTTCAGTAATTCAATTTCAATCCAATTTTTTGTGTTCACAAATTAAATTACTATTGACCAAAACAAAATCAGTCGATGGCTACATGTTTTCCAATGTATAAGTATAATGAAAAAAAAAAATATAAGTTTAAATAAAAAACACGAATTAGTTGAAAAATAAAACAGGCGAAAAACTCATATTGGTTTATAGACATTGTGCTAAAAATCTAAAATATGCAACACTAAAATAGAGTAAAAGCAATGTCACGTCACATAACAATGAACAAAAAAGAAATATGTGCCTTTTCGAGGACTCTTATATTGTAAGTTGAAAATTTATATAAAAGCCTGAGAAAAATCCTCATAATTACCTTGGTATGCACTACAATATAGATTCATCAAATAGTAACGAATTAATAAAAGCCAAGCCACATAAATTTACTTGAAAATTTCAAAATTTTGTGCCTCCAAATAGAGTGTGATATATTCAATCCTTAGAACGGACGGCAATACAACTTTCATTTTTATAAGCTATTTGATTGAAAATGTGGATTAAAACCTGATAATAAATTTACTACAAGAAGAAGATATACCTAAGTAATAAGTTCTGGAACCAACCTTCCAATTTATCTGCTTTCTCTTCTGCAAAAAATGATAACATCTTTCCTTTACCACTTCCAACACGACCTATTGATGGCATTCCAGTCGGTAATATTCTTTGAGATTGACCAGCTGGAGTTCGCACATTTTGAATTGTTACTTTATCACCTGCTGCGATTTGAACATCTTTATTTGGTAGCGTTGGTGGTTTACCCCTGGGAGATATCTGAGGCTCATGAATCGAAAGTGTTGGGGATGGAAGATTTGTTTTTGTCGGTATAACGTTATCATCTTGAGAACAAGTAATCTCTTTAGGCAGTTCTTTTTCAACCACCTGCACAGTATCCTCTGAATTTGATCCCAAAGTAAATAGAGGAGGTTGTTTTTGTAAATTCACTGATGGGGTCACAATTTGATTATTATTGTTAATATTTGCATCCGTACTCTGTGGCTGGGCAACATTGGTTGCTGTTGAGAGTAGTCCAGTGCGGGAACCTTGCTTTACTAACACAACCTGAGGTTCACCAGGAACTTTATTATTATTATCCCCACTGTGATCATTGGAAGTAGTAGAAGGAAGAAATTGGGGTGCAGATACAGTAGCAACTAGAATTGGTGCATTAGACTTATTGTTGGAATTGAAATTTTGTTCCGGCTTTATAGCATCTATATCACATGTAACAGGGCTCTCAGGACGGCTATGTGATTTCGAATCAACAGAACTTGACTTGGATTTTGCACTGTCATTTCGACGACTGAATCGAGGAGAAAGTAACGCATTCATTTTCTGTGAACAATAAAAAAAAATATTATACAAAGAATGATAATGGGTTTTAATGAATCATACAACCAAAATTATTACTTTGGTTTCAGAGTTTGGTTTCATAGAATTCGACAAATGCAAAAATTATAAATTCTGAGGTTCATATTTTGCTTAAGCTTTGGTTGAATGATTGGAAGATTGAGAATATGAAATTATAAAAGCCTGCTTGGCAAGCAAGATTGTCTAGTTTTGAATACAGATTTTTTTTTTATATCAACAATTTCATTTCAGCTGAATAGACATTCTGATATATCTCTGACTAGCATTTGCAATAATAACCAATTCATCATCCATATTATTAAACATAGTTCAACACAAGTATTTAATTTCAGGTACTTCAGTCCTCCTTGAAAGATATTTCACATACTTCAAAAACATCTAATTATGGTCAAAAATATTAATCAGAAAACTTAATCAATTATGAGAGTTTTACAAGTACTTACAATACAGCTGTATTACCAACACTAAAATTATTTTGGTAAAAATTCATCTAATCTGGTAAAACTGAAACTGACAAAATATGACAAGATTCTAATTTCTAACTATTAATATATACAATCAAAAATATTGAACAAATAAAAGCCAGTCAAATAATGACAAGATTCATTGAACAATGCAGGCCTTCATGGTCTATCTTTCCCAAGTGTTTCATATAACACGATTAAGATTCTTTCTTCATTCAACAATTTTTTAGAACGTTAACACTTGGCAACAAATATCTATTTTAGCATCTCATATCATATCAAGTAAAAAAAGTTCAGGGCTTACAGCCATCATTTTGAATTCCATTTCTCCCATTATGAATATAAAGTGCTGATAGTAATATAGACCAGGGTGGTCCAAGGTTGTCGGCTTCGCGGGCCACACTAATATTTTTGTATTGTTCGTGGGCCACAATGGTGCCAAGAATAGGTAAACAGTGCAATACAAAACAACCACTTTTATTGTCCAAACATATTAATCAATAGGCTATATGTCAATTTTCAAGCTAAAACATGCAAAAAACACTAAAAAACTCACTAAAACGTGCAAAATCCTTACTATATCTACATTTAGTGCAAGATTTTAAACTCATAACGGAGTAAGTTACATAAGGAGAAATGCCATTTTAAATTGTCTGTTTGAATTGGTCAGCTTTCTTTGTGAACTCATGATTACAAAATAACTTACAAATAACTGCAAATTGATTGAATACTGAATTTTACCAAATTTGAGATCCAGGACTAAAATCCATTACTAAATTTTCTGACATATAGGCAGCATTTTTTGTAATCCTGTTTAGGCTGGTTGCAAAAACACCCGGCAGGAATTATATTGTTCGGCCATTACATTAATATCTAGTTATCAAGCATAACCAACCTAGACTAATAGATTCCTCATTCAATTTTAATTTTCAATGAAGCCTATTTTGTTAGCATATATTCCCGACAAAATATAGACAGCCAGTTAACAATTTAGACTAGCCAAGCACTTTCATTATTCAACTTAGCTAGTCGCCTCAGCTAGCCATAACACTATTCAGTGACCTTAGTCATGTAACAACCTGTCAAAAGATTTTTCTGGTTAGTTTTATGACGAAACAGCACCAAATGCGTTTAATTTGTTTACCCTCGCGCAAATACGACACAGGCCACAGATAATGAACCGGCGGTCCACATGTGGCCCGCGGGCCTGGGTTTGGACCACCCTGATATAGACAATGTACTGACCTGAGAATACCCAGGATTCAGATTCATCTCGTTGCCATCAAGATGTTCATTAACAAATGCACCAGGTAACGTTTCTTTGAGTGTCTCAATTGTGTTACTTCTAAAGTGATGTTTGTAAAGGAAACATATTTTGAATGATTCAATATTTAAAATTTAACGAGCAAAAATTAAGTTAGGCTGAGCGAATAGTTGGATTTTGATAATAGATTTTATTCAATCGTTTCAATCAGCTATGATGAAGAGCAACAGATCTTCAGTATAGTTTTTCATTTTCAGATTTTTATGTTATCGATTATTCTTATTATCTCGGAACAGTTTGAATTGACTATATTGAGTGATGAGCAAAAACTTAAACTAAACCAAAAATAAAAAATAATATTAGAAATATAATTCAAATATTTGTCACATATCTGACATACAAAATATATATATTCCGAAATATTGCTGAAAATTCGAAAAAAAACTACAATTTCAAACTAAAAAAACATTTTTTATCATTGCCCAATAAATTATTATACAGATGACCGAAATTATTTGGTTAGTTGAGAATGAATACCTGCGTAACTTTCTACTTTTCTTTCCACCTCTTGGTCTTGGACCTGTATTCGAACGAGTTCTCATGTCATACAAACTTGTATCATCAGACGTTGTTGCAATTTCAATCAGTCTTTGACAAACCAAACTAACAATCTTCGGAGTGTATCGTAATTCGCGAGATTCGAAGCCATGTAACAAATGGCGTTGTCGATGTAGAAATTGTGTCAAATTTAAACGTTCTGCATGTGGTACTACCTAGGAAATGTTTTTTAGTATAATAAAAAAGTAATTTATAATAAATTCAAGGGAACATCGAAAAATCATTATAAGTATCGTAATACATGAGGTGAACAATCTCGATGCCATATATAAATAGAAACCACCTTCACCAAACATTGAGCTTTATTTATGACTTTTGATCTGTTGTACAAACATTATTGACATTCACAAACAGTAAGAGAAGCGATAGTTTATCTCTTCAGAAATTATTGTTATTATTTAAACAATAAAATTATCCTCGTGTGCAGTAAAACATATTCTAACAAATTCCAAATACTGTATATTACATCATAAATACACTTATCTTATCACAAATTGTTATTTTAAACAAATATTGAATAAATTTGATTTCAAAGCAACATGAATGGCCACTTCTTTTGGCTACATATACATTATATATAAGTGGTTTCAAAGAGAATTTCAAAATAACATACCTAAATGAAAACATTTTGAGAATATTGGATAAACCCAAATTTATACGATTTCGTTAAACTAAACTTGGATTATTGAAATGTCATATATCAACTTTCTTGATAAATTTAACATAAAATCAGCGGGTATCAAATAGTATACATGCTTCAAAATATTCGGTACCATACAAGATTATTAAAAAATGAAATAATTTTGAAACAAACATTTCTCAAAATAATATTCCGTAATCCAAATATTTGTGACAAACATAAACCACTTACTTGAGGGAATACTATTCTCAGTGGTTTCAAAAATTGTGCGAATTCTTGAATACAGGCAATTTGTCCACGAGTTTGTATAGAATTGGGTCTTCTTTTCCTTACAGTATTTATTGCAGAAGATGCATCCATGCGATGGGCATACACCAGGTAACATGCAATAAGCACACCTGATGACATTTGTGTTAATTGCATTAGTAAAGGAGTAGCGCACTCAATGATATCAATCGTATGTATTATTTCTTCTTTACCAATTCAGTGATTTTTATTAATCAATATGCTAAGCATTCTTTGCATTGTTTGCAACACAATATTTTTAACATATTTTTTGAATGTGCAATATTAAATAATTCACCTTATGCATAAATTCATTATTAGTAAGAAAAAATTGATTTATTCAATTATCTGCAGATCTCTATGTGGATGACACCCATGACATCATTTTTTATTGAATCATCAACTTCAAAATTACCAAATTTTACATATCATAATACAATAATATACACCTTCAGACAATATACAATACAATGGTCCTCTTATACTAGTAGACTAGTATAATTACAAAAATCCTCAGGGACAAGTGTAATAACATCACAATAGATGTCACAAATTATCACTCATTTTATTGACTAAAGTTCCAATTTTTTCCCAGTGGGGAAAACAAGCCGCAGTTTGAGCACAAAGCGTTAGACTTACTAACTATATGTAGACATCACAAATTACACATCTCAGAGAGTTCTACAAACTAGAGAGATTCCGGCCTCAACATCTATCTTATACCGTAAGTAGAAGTCAGATATTAAGTCTGAATACTAATCCGATAAAGTAAAATATCTTATTATTTCACCAAATCACCAATAATTACCTGTTCTACCCAGTCCAGCATGACAGTGTACTGCAACTTTTCCTTCTGTTAAGGCAAATGCCATAACTTTTACCATATCTAATATTGTTTCCAAAGACGTAACTCCATAATCTTTCCATCCAAAGTTGTAGAAAAATACTGGAAACAATTTTTTGTTATTAGCATAGAATACAAAACAGTATCATATTTGTTATTAAACAATCCACAACTAACTGGCCATAACAAAAAGACTATCTAATGTCTGCAAGACAGATTCAGATATTTTATTTCCGTCGTACATGAAATATTTTACCGACACAAGTACCGTAATCAAAAAAAGTAGTAACAAAAAGATCAATTGAAACAACGAGACATACAATATTTCTGCAATTGACGCGGGCCGCGAAAGACCACCAAAGTCAACGTGTCAGTGGCACCATGTTTGCTGAGGATGGATCAAACATGGGTCAAACTGAGTAATCTGTGGTGTATGAGGTGTAGTATTCGTATTTCTGAGCTCACATGCAACGGCACAACCAATGAAAATATCTTACTATCATTTTCCATGAATATCTGCGGGTCGTAGGTGAATTGACTTTCCTTATGTAATGGAGGTCCACAACTTGCATGTTCACCAGGACGTTGAAGGTTAATTATAGAAGATATGTTACTTCTGTACATAAACATAGGATAAGGAACAAGTGATAATATTCAAATAAAAAGCAACTCATATTGATACCATACCAAACAACGCCAATACGAGTGTCGTGCAATTTTAAAAGTGTACTATAATTTTAATCTTATTAATTTGTTGACATTTATAGTACTATAATTAGGGGGGTACAATTGGCATTCATTTTTCTAATCGGTACAAGAGACAAAATAATATCAACATGGTTAATTCAAAATGAAATAAAACCTAAAAACTGTACATAACTGAAGCATTGTTATTGTATTTTTTATTATTATGCCGAGAAGCTGTATTTTTCATTTAACACATGAAAATCGATTGTTTCAATCAATGGGCTGGTCAGCACAGAATATCTTGTGAAAGATTTATGCTCGTATTAAAGAGTACAAATATTAGTTTAACTGTTGTATTTATATCGGTCCTAAGAAATATGTGCTCAAGGAAGCAAACTGCAACTAGGAAACTGAGTACTAAACGTGAGCAATTATTTAACAAGTAATTATACACTTCTGAATTATCTAAGAAAAGTAGTTAACTCAAATAGAACAGACAAGCTCATTGTTTGACAAATCAAGCGAATAAAAGATTGAACAATAAGAAAACATTGTCTTTATAGTTTCAACAGTTAAATCAATACATGGTTCATGAGCGCAGACTTAATTTTGTATTGTGTTGTTTCTTAAATATTAAAATGATTTTTAATGATTAAACTAATGTACTATCCTATTTAAATCATACATGGATATACAGGGCGACCCAAAATATGGAATACAAATCATTTGGAACATATTCGAAGTGTTAAAGTGTTAAATAAATTTTCTTCATTTTCATGGAAGAAATAAAAATAACTTATGGGTTCTGTATTTTGGAAGTCACCCTGTATATAATCAGAACATATCTTTTTTCCAAATTGGAAATATAAAATTGCCGTTTCGATGATATATCATTCATCGTATATATGATTCATATAATTCAACAAATGGCAGAGAACTAAGAGGAGATTAATGTATTACAAGAAGAAGAACGGTAATTTCCTTGTACTTAAGAATCAATAGATGAGCAAGTAAGTAGGTGGCATGTGGTGATGTAACTGGCATATAAAAACAACTCTTTTACATTTAAAATACTTACTCCTTGAATTGCTTGATGAGATCATACTTCTTTATGACCTCTGTTGATGGCCGAGACATTGCAACAACCTCATCTAATACCCTGTGAATATATAATTAATATTAAAAAATTAAAAATGAATCACAAGACTATTAGATATGAATACCTTGATTATTAATATGTAATGATAATTTAATCATTTGATAATCACGAAAACAAGACATGTCATATTGAGTAATAGCATGGGGGTGGTAATATTATAGTTCTTCAATATTATGTAGATTTATACTTCACTCCTACACATTCATTTTTTATATTTATTGAAAATTTCAAAAATAGCTAAAATGGATGACTATGCTCTCATCTCATCCCATGCTATCCTTAAATTATTGAGTAGATCATTGAACATTTGTTCAGTGTTACTAATCAACATTTTGTTTGTTATCTCTTTGCTCAAAGACCGAAAGTTAGAAGCCTGATTCTGTACACAAAATACATATTAATCTAATGCAAATGCAACAAGTAAATAATGGAACAAAATTTTTTCTCCCTTTTGTTGATCACTAAAACAAATCCAAAAAAGTTTTAAAATTACGAAAGGTTTGATATATATAATGAAGGGTCTCAAAACAAAGGGTAAATGTTGAAAATTTAAAATACTTCAAATGGAAATATTACAAAAAAAGGAATCTTTAAGCTGGTATGTGATCACGTTATGAAGCAGTAGTCACCAAAAGTAATTCAATGAAAAGTTACAAGAGTTCAAAAATCATAAATCTAAATTTTCCTCATTTTTTCAAAACAGCTTTTTGAAGTTTCTACTGTAAGGAAAATATACTTCAATATCTCTCAAAAATCATAAATATATTTTTGTGAGTTTGAGCAAAAAATTTAAAGCTTGGCCGTTACCATGATGAGAAGACTCCTTTAATCACTTGATCTTCATCAGACCATCTTGATGGGTTTTCCCATTTACAATTTCTTCCTCCACATGCCATCGAACATTGCATTGGTCCAGGAATGACATGGCGAATCTTCTCACCAAACTTGGTATATTTTGCTTCTGGCATCACTGAAAATAATGATAGTGTTTGTAAGCATGCCATACCATACAAAGTTATTAATAATTTCTTCTTAAGATTGACCTTCGCAAGCAAAGTTGCACTCATATAAAATTTTGAAAGCATGAATTTGGCTCTGGAATCTACTATTTTATGATCGTTAGACCAGTTTATTCTGCTACTGATCAATTCTTTACATCTCAATCGAGTATAAATTCAACTTAATTCAAGTTAGAGTATGAATGATAGATATTGCGGTCATTAGAAAATATTATTTCATCAAACCATTTTCTCCGCGGTTAGAAACATGATAACACCGATTAATTAGAAACCTCATAACCAAACAAAGGTACAAGGCTGTTTAGTATAACGTGAAACTGAGACGGTGAAACTGGGGAAAATTTACACCAGATTCTGAACTCCCAATCTATTTAAAAATTGACTCCCTGGCTCCAGATCGTTAAAAAATATATTGCACTGAGAGAGTGTCGAGTTTATCACTTTTTTTTTTCAGTTCTCAAAGAAAAGTCCAATAGTTGGCTATTTGATTATCCATCATTTATTTGCTTGTTGTCAGCTTTTATACTGTTAACTTTGTTGTTTTTGAAACAAATTTTGTCAAAGTTCAGTGGTTAGGTTAAGTGCTGAGGAGAGTTAGATTGGGTGATCTATCTCAATTATCGCTTCTTTATTTTTTCAATATCAATTTTCATCTATATGCTGTATTGATACATCTCTTGCTCCAAACAAGGTTCTACACAAGCAGTCACAAGGCTACTAGGTAAGAAGTTGTTATAGTTAAGAAGATCATGAGTCTTTCCAGCATTGCTCACACAATATATAACACCCTAGATGAGGTTGCGCCCATGAGATTTGAACCATAGACTTTGACCCATGATGCTGTATTAATTAAGTCCAATTATGTTATTCCAATTATTGACTCCAATATTAAATATTAATTAGTGGGTTATATTAGTCAATATTAAAAAGTGGGTAAAACAACCTAGTTTCTCATTGAAACACTCTGGATTTCATTGTAATAAACCTATCTCAGCACTTTGAAACTCATTGGATTTTCAGTACTTTTATAATTTTCTGGGTAGAGCCTGGAAAAAGTTTTCTATCTCTGACAATTTTACCATACTCAAATAACGCTGTTCCCTATTTAAGATTAAGGATATTAATATAGATGAATTACAGATGTTGCATCAAGTTGTAACTGTACAAATGATCTCAATTCAGTAATTAGTTCAACCAATCGATTGTTTTTCCTATTTAACTAGACTGACTGGAAGAAAATTTTCAATTAATTTCATTTCAATAACTCATTTAATTACTTGAGATAGTTTATACTGATATGGATCTACAGCTGTATAAAACCCTGGGAAAACCATTTACTGATTTGACCTTTCTCAGAATCTTGTAATAAAAAAAGTGTTTAAAACTGTAAAATGACTACTTGAACCAAATACAAAATTTATGCACTTATACAGATCTAGCTTTCAGCGATTCAGTACTTATTGTACCATTATATAAAAATTATTTTTAAAAAGACTATGAATATCTCTCACCTTCAGACATTTTTTCAGTTCTGTAGTTGTCTAGTTCAGTCAGTCAGTCTCCCTCCTATTGCTATATTCGTTTTCTATTTGTAGAATCATTTCTGGCGAATGAATGAATCCTAATCTATTTACATACTGACATACCATTTACAACAAATAATTCAGTTTTCTGAATGCTGGAATGATACGTCTAGACGTCTGTAAGCATAAAATTTAATAATCCAATGGCTCACACTGAAAATATTAAAATCTATAAGACCAAACTCGATTCAGCAATTATAAACTCCACGAGAAAACAACATTTCGAAAAATTATGCATAAGCAGGGCTCACACCAATAAAGTTGCAGAGCTGTGAAGATCAAATCATTTGTTCCGCTGCCAACTTTTCGGTCGATTTATTGAACGCGCGCCTCTCAGATTACTAGTCAAGTGTGTTTTTTTATTAGGATGATAAAAAAGGCTACGATATAAACGAAACTTACACGAAGGTACTTTCGAATTCAATGTATAGATTTATATTGCATTCATTCCCAACAACGAATGAATCACTACCATTGCGGTTTAATTTCTACAATTAAAAAGGGGGATTTCCCAATTTTATCGGATGTCGATTGCTGCATGCTGTTGGCAACAGCAACCACGCATGATTGCGAATCGCACCTGCATGCAATGTGACATATTTTCCAAATGTTGCTACTATTAAAAGTAGACTAAGACCGTATATCTCGCAAAAATACGAGTAGCTCCAAATCAATTGTATAACATCGCGTGATCTCGGTGACGTTTTTGAACAAAGAGATACGACGGGGATTTTCTCTGATATCAAAAATACAAAGCACCCATATGATGTCGACGATTAGGCGTGTTTTTATTAAACATTATATTTGTAATCAAGATCGTGCGTTTTTATGAACTCAAAGATGGATAACTCCATTTTTTGTGCTTTTCAAAACTTGAACTTTGTATTCTAATTCGAAGAAATATAAATATCTGAATGTTTTTCTACTAAGCTTTAGCTTTTAGGCCAGTATTTTCCTATCATTTTTGCCATACTTACAGATACTTCGAGTCACGAAACTTTGCTATTCTTTGAGTCGTACAAATCCGACTACAATCGAGCGCGCTTAGTACAGTCCCAAGCGTGTCATTTCGAAAAAGCGCTAAGACAATGTTGAAAAGACTTGCCTTGAATGCAACGTGAAACTAGATAAAGACAGTAATTCAATCCAACGACAGTAATTGACATCCAATTGCACCAGCAGAGCAATACACAGGTCAAGGTACAAAACATCACGACGCTTAAGAGGGCAAGTTGAGAGTCCTAGGAATTATTAACTCTTTCGTTAGTTTTGTTGTTTCTCAACAACAAATACATTTGTTGTGATTGGTTGGCCCACATACCCACTAACCCAGGGTGGTCCAAGGCAGTATGTTCCCCAGCTTTTCATTTTAGGGGGGGGGGGGTGTTTTCAAATTTAAGGGGTGCAACTTTGGAGCGTTTGGGGGTCGTTTAATTGCAGAAAGCTATGTAACTAATGATGAATTGGATCATCACAAATTCCAATAAATCATGTGGTATTTGTGTCTCCCGAAAATGGTAGTTCAATTTTAAAATGATGGAAAAAAGTATACAAAAACAACAAATTTCAATATTATATATGACAATAATCTGGCGACTGAAAAAATAGAATTACGCCGATAGCTAGAATTATTGCTGAAACCAAATTGGCACCCAAGTTTAGTGAAGCGTCAATTTTTCCAAAGTTTATAATTCTCGAGTTGGTGAGTCATGTGCCATCCGAGTCAATTACGGAATCCCAACAGATTTGAAAAATTGCGTCGATTCACTGTATTCTGGAGTCCCTGCCTTTTCGTGTAATGAATTTTATAAACAACGATAAATTAATCATTCACTAACTTATGTGGGGGGGGGGGGTATGTCTTGGGGGGGGGGGGTTAGGGAAATCACTGGTCCAAGGTTATTAGCTTCACCGGCCACAAATTTTTTTTTGTCATTCATCTACATCTAGAGTTGGACTTCAAACTATTAATACCGTAGCAAGTACTTCCGCAAATATAAGTGCTTGGGAACATCGATTAGAATGTCAAAGCGAAATTCCCAACTTTCCCAAAACTCATTCCTCAGAAAATTCCAAAATGCCGTTTTAGATTATATTCTTTTGTCACAGACACAACTTGCAGACATATCAACAAACTTTGTGGTATTTTCGCACCCATACCCAGTTGAAAATCTGTCTGTTTGCAAAATAATTTAAAAATATCTGCAGATTAATTGATAACCAAATGTGAAGTGAACGGCACAATATACCGAAAGTTTTTATTATACAAACAAATTTGCTGACTATTTATCAATGATCAAGCTTTCTAAATCAACGTTTACGTCAGTCGCAGACAGGCATCCAATTTTTCGTCTCCCAACCTGTTTCTTTCATTAGATTTTAGTCTTTTCATAAAGGAGAACGCGCTTTCGCAAATGTATGTACTCCCGAACATTGATAACATTCTCAAAGCAACATCCCTTAACTTTGGAAAGTGTTCAATGCTCATAAACGTCCAAAATGCTTCATTTCTCTCATTCTTTTTTGATTGAAGAAAGGGATCTGATTGTAAATTACATAAATCCAATTGGAATTCAGTTTCCTGAGTTTCGGTTTGTATTTCCATGGGGTTAATGAAGAGTTTAATTTGTTCTTTCATTGAATCAAATTTAGCGAATCTGTCATCGAATTCACTGCTCACGAGTCACGATATGAAGCATATATTTAAATTCAGAAAACTCTACCGTTTTATTCTCTTCAAATAATTCTTGACAGGGTGGAAAGTGGGTAACAACATCTTTTGTAAGTCATCCGAAAGTATCTTCAAATGAAGATACAGGTCAACTGAATATTTTGAACGAAAAGCTTCAATATGCCCAAAAAGTTGACATATGTTTTGATCTTTTTGTAGGCCAAGGAAGCGATAAACTTCTCGTTGCTTAAATAAATTTCATAATTTTCTATTCCTTTAACTTCATTTTGCAGAAAAAATAAGATTTCTTTCTGCAAAGAAAAAAATGCTGCAAAGTGTTTACTGCACTCAACCATCCAATTTTTGAATACAGTGGCACATCTTCATATTTCGAATCCAAATCAGTCCGAAACTAGACAAATTTTCTATGCCTTCGAGCTTTATTCCCACCTCTGTTGATGTTCACTATTGTCATTACGCTACTCAGGATGTCACTCATTTGCAAGACCTTTGTGTATAATACTTCTTGGTGCATAATACAGTGGAATGTTGGGCAATTCACTCCATGATTTTTTAACAGGCATACCAGTTCAGTATTTTTCCCGACCATTGCCGCAGCGCCTTCGGTTACAACACTAAAGCACTTTTCAAAGCCACCATGTGATTTGGCTACAGATACGAGACTGTTATATATGTCGTACCTTTTGCTGCGCCATGAAGTCGACTAAAAACGCAAGGGCCATCTTTATTGAGCACTCCTTTACAATTTCTCCATCTCTGAACGCTTTTCCATTTTTTGCTAGTATTGGAGAAATTTCGTAAGATGCTTTCTGGTCAGAAAAAGTAGTTTTAGTGATTTTTATGGCGTGTTTCCTAATGCCATTTTAAATTATATTCTTTTGGCATTGACACAGTTTGCAGACATACCAAGCACTGTGGTCCATTCTTGTTTTCCACAAACAAGTACAAATAAAATATCTGTTTGAATTGGGCAGATTTTTCTTTAAACTCATGCTTACAAAACGATCTACAAAACTGCAGAACGATTGATTACTAAATTATGATTGTCGTTATAAAATAGGATTGGTAATAACCTTAGCTTGCTAACTAAACGCTGGCAATCACTTTACTTTTTGGCTGTCATGATAGACTGGCTACCAGTCCAAACCTATAAACGCAAATCAAACGCAAATCTTTGTGATAGTATGTCTGTCTTTACAGACATGAGAATACTTAATTTAACTAACTTTCTCAAAGTCCAAATATCAACTCTGCACTACAAATTACAATAAAGAAACAATGCATTGAGAATACTTAATGTAACTAAATTTCCCTCCCAAAGTCCAAATTTAAATTCTGCACTCCAAAGTACAAAAAAGAAACAATGTATTGAATAGTTCAACTGCCACGCGATTACCTGCCTAGGTCACTCACAGTTCAGCGCAAGAAAACTGCATGGTCGTGTATGTTACGTCGGACGTCGCATCAATACAAATGCGCAATTACGTTACTAGTCATTAGTACAATGCCTGAATGCTTCTCAACACTGTCTTTTTTTTGCGTTTGATTTTTATAAATAAAAAAATATTGCAATAAACAATATTAACTGATATCATTATATGCAAAAAAAGTAATTAATCACAATGTACAATATTGCATAGAATACTATTAATCGATAGAAATACCGGTACAAAAAGTCATTTTTGACCAGTGGCGGCGCGTGGTCATTTTGACAACCGGGGCAAGCTACTGCGGGACCAAGTCACCCCCATCTACGGGGTCAGGATGAGCGCTGTAAGTTCTACCATCATTTTATGAGTATAAAAACCATTCCATCGGTAACAACCAATCGGCAAAAGCGACAATTTTTAACGATAAGAAAGTGTCTTTAAAACCGGTCCAAGTCAAGGGATTAATAAATATAGACATAGTTTATTTTGAAACCTCTTTCAAAAGGAAAGGCAATATTTACCCAGATAAATACAATGACATATTAACAGAAACTTCGGGAAAGCAGACAAAACCTAAAATAAGGTTTAAAACGTTACTAAGAAGAAAGGAAAGGTAATGCAAAGATAAGGACATGCGTCGCTCACTCATAGATATATATGCTGCTAGACTTCTACTGCTTGAACATATATGCAACACGCCGCGGTTTCTTGGAAGCAAAATGCTCAATAACGCGCTGATTAAAGTCATGCATCCCAGAAATAACGTCTCTGTGAATTAGGGTTAGTTCGGATACCTATAATTTTTACTATCCGGATAACGGATATATCCGGGTATTCCGTATTTTAACTATCCGGTTGACCGGATAGTTACTGCTAATTTTAAAGATCCGATTTCGCAAGATTTTTACGGCGAATTGATCAAAAACCACCACACAGTTCTATTGTTAATAGCTCAAATTCGCAAGATCGCAAAAATACGAATAAAAACTGATATTATTTGTGCAGCTTACTACGTATTTTCATATATGCAGAATGCGGTGGCATTTTATAGTAGAAGTGCTTTAATTTTAACGTATGTCGACGCAATCGAGAGATGAACGTTGAACAGAGTTATTATGGAACGACATTTTAAAATGCTCGAATCAGCCACAAATTGGTTATTTTGCGCAATAGAAAAATTTAAGAAGTTGAAAACATGCACATTACATGCATTCGTATACCAAAAATTTAGAAATGCTACACAGATCACATAGATTACGAAGTATTGGGAATTAAGTC